ATCTAAATAATTTTCAAAGAAAATTAAAGTCCTGAGATGAGTGGCAGAAATGGATCAGTATTCAAATTATGCCAAAAAAAATGAGGCTGGATAGTAAGAAGTTAGGAATGTTCCTTGACAAGTAGAATGGGGAAACTGAGACAGACAGCTGAACGAACTGGCTGAGCAACTTACAGCCGATACAGAAGGTCACTTCACTGGAGAAAACGTCAGACCTCAGTTGCATTTCCGCTCCACACTGAGAAAGGTAGCAAAACTAGGTGGGCAATGCCAGGACCAGCTGTGATGACCAATGACCCCCTGCCCTGGCACCCACCTATCAGTGGAGACCACAACCCCAAAGGAACACATCTAGAAAACTAACAAATATTTTACCAAAACCCTCACCTAAGATTCCCATCTGCAAGAGAGAGAGAAAAACTCTTAAGACAGAGGGCCGAGCCCACGCTGTCCCTCTGGGGAGCACGCTTGCACCTTTCCCTTTCCCGTCTTATTCCCCCACAGGCGTGCATCTCCCAAACTCTAAGGGTCCCCATGAGACTCGCAACCAGGGGAGCAGTGGGCAGCAGCAGCTCATCCAGGGCTGACCCCCAGAATCTGTCTCCAAGGCCCCCTTTGCTCTGACTTCCTAACGAGCTACAGCAGCCCTGCCTCAGCTCATTTCTTACCTGTAACATTTTTAGGCCGCCCAGCCTAGGTCTCTCCTGCTGGTTTCTCTGCTCAGCCCTTCTTATCTCGCTGTCTCCAGCTTTAATAAAGGTACCCTCGGTGTTGCCTAGACTCATGCGGCAAAATCTTCCCTGCACAAAATCAAGAACCCGCACACTACCAGCAGGCCCTAGGCAGACCCAGTAGGGGCCAGGACCCCCTCCTGGTAACAGAAACAAAACAAAATAAAAGAGAATTCTCCAACAGAAAGAGAAATTGTTGTCTGCTTTTATTGTGTAGTACAAACACAGAAAGAGCCATCACATCAGAAGTTTCAACTGTGGTGAATTATTTTAACCACTTACCCATAGATATATATGTTATAAATCACACATTTTACCAAAAATTGTAGATAATTTGAGAAGTGTGAGGTTATAAGCTTAACTGTTGAAAAACAGTTGCATTTTTCCAAAATACTCAGAAAAAATAGTCCTCATATTTTATAAAACTGGAAGTTAACATATACTAATAGGTCAGGTAATATCACCTTATTGGTGGAGGAGTAAATTTGTGAATGAATTAGGAAAAACTGGCATAGACTGAGATTTTACATCTCTCCTCTGTAAGGACAGTTGAGAAGCCTCTAAGACAGACCATGAAGTATAGAGCCTGGAGCCTGGAGAAAGGCTTTGAACTGGGCTTTACATGGAAAGAATAGGCTTTGCTGTGAAAAGGTGAGATCACGTAACAGCATTTGGCTGCAGAGTGAGAAGTCCTACAGTTGTATTTCATACTTGTATGTGAACTTGCTCTGAGAATAAACTTGAACTGACTAAGCCAAGAGTGGGTAAATGCAAGAGTAGTGTGCTGGACACAGGAATCTAAACCTTGCCCTAATCACACTCCCATGTAAGAGACAGGGTCAGACCCCCGGGCTCTGCTTCACACAGTCACCATGTGTGGTCACACAGAACCTTGCTTGTTTGTCCACCTCGACCACGGCCAATTTGGATCTGAGAGCAGCCTGCGAACGGCTCCCCTGAAATTGAAATCTATGTCCTGGCTGTAAAGATAGGACATAAACACAAAGTTTACATTTTAGTATAGATTGAAGTCGTGCAGGAATGAATATGAAGCAGAGGAAGCTAGTCATTGGGTAGAGGGGAATGGTGTTGCTATACGGAAAAAGGAAGGCACCGTGAAAGAGAGACACGGGGGGGATTTGGGAGCTGGCTCGATGTCAGCTAAACTTACTGTGATGATCATTTTGTGATATATACAAATATCAAATTGTTATACTGTACATCTGAAACTAATATGCTATATGTCAATTATATCTCAAACATGAAAAAAAAAACCAGTCGTGGTTCCTTTGAGGCTTTATTAAGCTCTGCCTGCATTTGATGCTAGCATGTTCTCTCAATAAACTCTCTTTTCCAGCCTGACCCACACCGAGCTGGGCGCCCACCCCAGTCCGTCAGCAGGACATGGCCCCAGGCTTATCAAGGCTGTCCTGCTGCCCTGTTAGTCTCTATTTCTTCCAACCAAAAAAACCCTAACAAGAGCAAATCTCTGTTACAGAAGAGAGATAAAAGCCAATGAATAAACTGATAAAAATTTAAATCAATTAAAAAAAGACTCAGTGATTATATAGCTATAATATTGTGAATTTGAAGGAATTGTGGAGAATAGTTGTAAAAACCACAAATGTTGGAGAAAGACAAGACTTTCCAGTTCACATAATTTATACGTTATAGCTTTCCAAAGAAATAAATGAGGCCTAAAATCGTCGGTTTGCTTAAGCTCAGTGAAATTATATGAGAAAGCAGGTCTTATAAAAAGCAAATTCCTTGGTATTTTATTACTCTACACTGCCTTTAATTTTTGTTGCTGCTACTTTTTAGACAGTCATGTATTTTGTGTAATTATAAGTTTTGTCAAACAATTAAAATAAACCAATTGGTATTATATTATTATTATCAATGTTTTAAAATATAATGCATAGTCATATTAATATTTGTATATTTTAATATTTACATAATATTTAACCAAGACAACATTTACATAATTATAAACATAATAACTTATATAATATATAATTACATGTAATATAAATATAATATGTGTATGTGACATATTTATATGCAATCATTTTATGAAATTTATTATATAATCTAAATCTATCTCTTATGGTATATTAGATATACATTATTATATTTATATTATGTACTGTGTATATGTGTATGAGCGCTTTAAATCAGTGCCTCTCACATTTTAATTTCTGCATAAGTAATTTCACCTGGGATAGTATGAAAATACAGATGCTGGTTCTGCAGGCCTGGAGTGGGCCCGAGAGTCTGCATTTCTAACCAGCTCCCAGCGAATGCTGATGATGTGAGGTTTTATGTGCGATTACTTGGTTTTCTCAATGATCTCTATCTGCATGAAGTGTAACCTCCACCTCTAAGCTACCCCCAGGTTTGAAGAGTGGAGGGCAGGGCAAGCCAACTGAGTCAGGATACAGAGCAAGGTGGCTGGAAGCAGGCTGAGAGAGTCAGCGCTTCGGTTGGAGACAGCCAAGGTGCAAATCAAATGTTCTCGGAGCCCGAGAGTCAGGACAGGGGAAGTTTAGATGTTTGGGGGTGTGGAGCCTCTCCGCAGCAAGGCTGTGACTGGCAGAGGGTCAGGGGGAAGAGGTGTTGATCAAATTACTCTGTGCTTAGGGATCCAGGCAAGGCTTTGGGGATGAGATGATGAGTGAGCAATGAAATTCATCCTAGGAACTCACAGTCTAGAGGGCAGGAAGTTTGAAGAGCAGGTGATTAACTCTGAAGAAGAAAGAAAAATTATGAAGGGCCAGGGCATGAATTGAGGTGGTTAGGACCGAGTGGGCCTGAGGTCCGAGCAGGCAGACTGAGTCAGAGTCCCTGGGCACAGGAGTGTAAGAGCTGAGGCCTCAGGGCCGAGGTTCCGTGTACCAGGGTGTGTGGAGGAGAGCTGTTTCCAGGGAAATGCGCATAGGGTATGGAAACTGTACACCACAGGAAGTGCGACAGCATCTTATGAGGCCGAGTGTCCTTGATTAAGAACGGGGTGGAGTAAGGGCAGGACACTGGGGCCCACGTCCAGGAGGACAGTTGTGCCTGACGGGCAGGAGCCAGGCCCCTGGCCCTGACCGAATAACAAGAACACTGGACAAAGCAAGAGAAACCACTACAAGGAGAAGAACCTCTAATACTAGAAAACAGGAAAGATAAAACAAGCAGCCAAAAAAGGTAAATCTCCTTGCCCCCTTCATTCCCCCTACAATCTACCCGAATCTCAACCATTTGAAGACAATAGCCAAAAGCAACATATATCTTTGTTCCCTCAAGATGTTGCTAATTGGGAAGATAAGGGCATTAAATACGTACCTCCTGTGTATCAAGACACTCACAGCTGTGTATGACCTTGTCCTTTAAGGAAGTAAGTAATAAATGTAGAGAATAAAGTTCCATTATTACATATTATTGTGCATTTCTGCAGTATAATACTTTTAGGTTTTAAAGTACTTTCACAATTATCTCATTTAATCCTAACAGCAACACCAAAAACATTGTATGATTGGCATACCCAAGTCATGAATAAGGAAACTAAACCCTAGAGAGATTAATTTATTAAAAACAATGCAAATTCTAAGTTGCTGGACCAAAGTTTTTTACTTTAATCAGTGCTCCTTGTAAATTATTAAAATGTAAAATATTTTGTCCAATTTCAGGTTTTTTGTATCTAAATCTGCAAGTGAGTCAGGAAGTCCATCAGAGCTTTTGGCTAAAATATTTGGATATTAGGATAGACGATAAGACAAACCAAAGCAGATATAAAGGGAAAACAAGTATATTAGAATGGCGTTGGTCAACAATTGCATCACAGATATATTTGGGTATCAGAGAACAAAGAATCAAAACAGAAGCAAAGCTAAGTGATGCACAACAATATAAATGACAAAAAATGTAACACAGGACATCAACAGACAGATAAAAGAAGTCATTTTAAGAGGACTGGGGTGAGGAGGTTAAAACCTCAGCCAAAGTGCGAGGGACTGATGAGTGGATAAAGCTGACCGTAACCACTTCATCTGCAGCCAGCAGGAGCACCTGACTCACTACAAGAGGCCATTTTTCTCTTCAGGGCCGGACTGAAGGACAGGGACACCCCTCATGAGGTTAGCAGAGCAGAGATGCGCCTGCTGTTCTGAAGAGAGGCTCGATAGAAAGTAGACATGGGACCTCGTGTTCATTCATGATGCCAGGAATGCACAGTCTTTGAAAGGAGAGGGAAGAAATGCTTATGTCAGTGTTAGAAACAAATAAATTAGAGGTAATCACCAACTTTTTCTCATAGGAAAAAAAGAAGGTTTAGAAGGTAGAATAGAAATTATCGAAAGTCCATATGAATAGTCTCAAAATTGAGTAATGTGTGCAAAAATAGAAGTCTGATGTGGCTTTGATCTAAATTAAACATAATCTGCCCTGGCAGCTGTGGCTCAGTGGATTGAGTGCCAGCCTGCAAACCGAAAGGTTGCTGGTTCAATTCCCAGTCAGGACACATGCCTGGGTTGAGGGTCAAGTTCCCCATTGGCATCATGAAGGAGGCAACAGATCGATGTATCTCTTGCACATCAATATTTCTCTTCCTCATTTTCCCCTCCCTTCCCCTGTCTCTAAACATAAATAAAATCTTTAAAACTAAATAAATTTCACATAATCTTGTTGATATGACTTGTGGGATGATGCGTATATATTAACCTTGAAGAAAAAGACCTTAAAGCTGAGCCAGGACTGTGCACACCTTCGGCCACCTTCAGTATGGGTCAAAGGGACAGGAAATAGTTGTTTCCAGTTGATTATGTGAGTGGTGAAGACATTCAAAACATGGCTCTGTTCGGGGCTGAGCTGTAGCAACATTTTATCATCAGGAGAACCCCACTTGTGGAGGAGAGGCAGAGTTAATATTGAACCAAAGAACCTGAAGAACCTGGAAAGAAATGTAGAAAAGTTTAATTATAACTTTGATTTTAGTAATAATACTAGGTATCTTAGCAAACAGAAGCAGTAACTACCAAGAGACATTTCTTTGCAAATGTATATACTAGGGAAGAACAGAAGAGAGATCAGAGATTGCAGATTTACTACGTGCCTGCTAAAGATGGCTGCAGACATATTTATGGCCTAAAGTGTATTTTAAAAAATCAGAAAATGTTGCTAATATGATCATTTCATATAACATATACGTCTTATCAAAAGAAAAAGTCAGGTCTGGCGTTGCCACGTGGCTACAGTGAGAGAGCTGGGCTGAGCAGCGAGGCTCATGGGAAACTGCCATGACCAGCCTGGGCTGGCCCCTGTAGAGACTTCCGTTTGCTCCACGTATCTCCCCTCCCCACTCCCCCTCTCAGCTGTTCATAGCCAAGTAGGCTCGTTGTAAGCTAGAATGAGAGAAATAAATATGATGGTCTAATTTATGAAGGTAAGCCTTGTTTTGGATTAAGTAGCCACTCAACCCATATTAATTAAACAATGAGTATATGCCAGGAGCTCTTGCTAGGTCCTAGGGAGATAGACTTGAGTAAGTTGCAGGCCTTGCTTTCACAGGGCTTACAATCCAAAGGGAAAGACATATATGGTGTAAATAATGATAAGCGTGGCTGGTTAGTATTATGCTTGAGAAATGGCAAGTGCTTAGGACTGAATCTGGTGACCCAACCTGATGGGACATCATGGAAGATTGCTGAGCCCTCCAGGGCTCCCCAGGATTGCCTAAGGTTTGGCCCTGGAAATGAGTTAGGGGTACAGTTAATCACAGACCATTTCTAACATGGCTCATGCTACTGGGATGCAGTAGAGAAAGAAGAATATGCTACAGAAGTGAAACAGTTCATTCTCTTTCAAAGTTTCAGTGTTTAGTCCTGTTTAGGGTTTAGTCCCGTCTCAGTAATGCTGCAACATACAGGGTCCGGCACAAATAATGCCTCTTTCTTCACTACAAAATCATAAGCATGGAATTCTGTAACAGAGCAATATCACACTCAAGCACAGCATATGATATTTTATGTGAAATGTTCAAATTAAAACTATAAACTATTATACCTATATTACGATCCTGCCAAGCACAGTCGGGCGGGCATTCCTTCTGCCAGAGTCTGTATTAGTACAACCGTCATCCTCACACCCAAGAACAAGGACTCTGTTGGGCAAAGAATAGCACTTATACAATAAACATCCTTCCACTAAGAAGTATAAATTTAAAATTCTAATAGTTATCTAACTATAACTATAGTTATCTAACAAGTTGGATAACTGTTAGATATGTTATTTTTCGTGGGAATTACAAAAATGCTGGGGTAGCCATCATGGTGTTGATGAAATAAGAGCTTGGAAAGAAAGGCAGCCTAGAAAGGCAGTGTTATTTGATCTTCATTATCTCCATGGAAGGCTCCTGTAATTCATAGTTTCACAGTATTTTGTGAAGAGCGTGGACCATTTCGCAAAGCTGTAATTTACCTTAGGAAGAAAACAATAATTAGCAAGGTACATCATATAGAAACAATTTTGAACTGCAAGAAATGAAACAAAATGATAAAATCCTAAAATGGCTCATTTTTAAAAAAATCAAAATTTCAGTTTACAAACTGCTCAATACTGGGTTTTTTCCCTCCTTCTCAGAAAAAAAAAAAAAAAAGAGAAGCATTTGAGTGTATGGACATGCATACCTACAAGCCAGATCAAATGGCACAGCATACATTCTGTACCCCAACCACAGAGATAGAATTGTGTGGTTTTACTGTATAAGCACATGCATGATAGTAGCTAGAGAAGGAGTTTAATTCCTGGCATAGCATTTTCTGTGCTTCATACAGAGTAAGCTATTGTTACTGAGTCAGAGTCTTGCTCTGGTTGAGAGGATAAACTCTGCTAGAAGTGGATTAAAACACTTTAAAATTTTAGATTAAAAAATTGAAAACATAGAGATTTCTTGAACCACGATGAAACATGATGTCACAGTATTAAAGCCATTATTGTTCACAGAACAGTCATTTAACTTATAGTTTTTCTGATCATTTGTTTCTCTCTTCATCTACCAAGCAGTCTCTTGATTACAGGTGCAGCCTTCCTTTCAATTGTTTGATCCAAAAATTAATCTAAACTTTGAAGTCCTTTCATGACACAATGTGTTTATTTTAGCATAAAAGATGATTTTGGAATTGCTTGATTCCTTTTCCCCAGCAGTGAAATGGGGTGGTTGGCTTAGACCCCCTTCCCTCCTCTGACACTCGGGGAAGCCCACGGTCCGCTCCGGAGGACAATACACACAAAGGACCTGGCACAGTGCTGAAGACATTATTCAGTAAATGTTAGTAGTTCACTAGTTTACTAAAGCATGCAACTTTAATAAATTTGAGTAGTGGTTCATCTCAAGTGGAAGAGTGATCAAAACCGATTTCTCAAGAAAAACGGATTTCTTTTTTGTTTGTTTCTGTACTTCATTTCTGTGAATATTCAGCTAGGATTTCTATTCATGTTTACAGAGTGTTAAAAAGGTTGCCATCGGTTTTGATAAAGAGACATTTACTTTGATTACTCTGTGTTACAACACTTCCAATATAATTAATTGACACAAATTTCAGGTTATACTTTATTATAATTTATTATATTTGGGCTTCAAATTACACATTAAAGCCAAAGCAGAATCCAGTTTAGAAAGACATTTGCAAGTCACCTTGATCTCTATTTTGATCAGTTACAGCTAAAACAATCCCTTTTGTTTGATCATGTTGACAACCATCCTGAGATGTCATAACCACCAGTTGTGTGAGAGGTGAGCTGTGGAGTAAATGAAGCATTCGTACAATAGTTCAAATAAATCTAACATTTATAATTTTCTATTACTTGACCTTTCAATTACTTGACTAATATCTATCTATCTATCTATCTATCTATCTATCTATCTATCTCCTTCCCAGGACAAAGTTAACCATCCTTATCATATCATCCAAGAAAGTATGGGAAGGTATGTAAAACAGCATATTTTATTCTGGGCCACCTTGTAAGGGAAACTTGATTCTTCCATGAAACAGAGGAAGGGCCTGCTAAAGAAGCGTGATGATGTCTTACAAGTAAGCCACGGTGGTAACATTCAGTAGAGGAAGTGAATAATTTATTTTTCAGCTGCAACTCGGAGGAACATTTTTAGGCAGAAGGGGGAAGGTATAATTATGCGGTTTGGAATCGGGCCAGGGCACTGGAATTCACACCTCTTCACTTTCAAGATGCGTCACTCACCCTTCAATTACCCAAAGTGGACCAGGCCCTCGTTTTCTGTCTCTCCCATGAAAAAGACAGCACAGTCCTGGCTGGTGTGGCTTGGTGGATTGAGTGCAGGCCTACGAACTCGAGGATCACGGTTCGGTTCCCAGTCAGGGCACATGCCTGGGTTGCAGGCCAGTTCCCAGCAGGGGACCCATGAAGGCAACCATACATAAAAAAAAAAAAGACAGCACATTTTGTTACCCCTTTACCCAACGCCTCTCGGAATTTTAACTTTTATTGAGTAGGCCACATAAATCATTTAAATCTCTCCCATTGAAATATTCTTTTCTTTCTTGAAATTCTGACTTACAAGGATGGCACATGGGCCACAGTATTGCCAAAGACCTATCCCTAGTTTTAGAACTATTAACCGCTTACTAAGCCCTCCACTTCAAAACCTTTAATAAAGGAATACACAGGAGTATACCGCCAAGCCCCACAGATCTTCTCAAAGACAGCTTCTCAAAAGTCCAAGTGATGAATGTGTCATCAGTAATAAAAGTGGTGCTGTGTGCTGTGAAAGTCTGCTTAGAAATCGATGTGACATTTTCAACAATCTTGTATAGTTTCTCACAAGTCATGCATCAATAATGCATTAATAGTGCTTTAGAATAACTCCTCAAATCTGTTACCATTAAAAACAGTCGTCTGTCTTTAATAGATGCTTAATTTTAAATCAAAATAGCTCCACTTTCAAATATGGGACAGCTGTAAAAAATTATATGTATGTACACATTTATGTAGAATAGACTCTTTAAAAAGAATTCTCAACAGAAAAATATCAATCTGTTCTTCAAAAACATGATACAATAGTCTGGTGTATATACATATATAATTAATCTACACAATTTATCTGATCATTTGTATTTGAGACTCTGTTATGTTCAATTTAACCAGTATATTTAGTTACAGAAATAAGCTTCTATATATAAGAAGAACCATAAATAACAGTACTTAATTATTCCATTGAAATGATTTCAGTGCAAATTAAGGAAATTAAGACCTAATATTTCAAAAAGGAGTCATTGTACCTGCAAAACAATCTCATACATAACAAACAACCAAACCCACCTTTCCTTCCTCCCTTCCTTCCTTCCTTCCTTCCTTCCTTCCTTTCTTCCTTCCTTCTTTTTTACCTTCTCTCTCATTGTTTCTTCCTCCCCCAGAAATGTTATTACCCAATAGAAACCAATGGAGAACAAATAGTTAAAAATCATGCATCCCATAATTCTCTCTTGGATGTCCAGTATGAGGCAAGATGCTGTGATAGGTACAGATACAACTGTGGCCTAAACGTGGAACCTACCGTCATTATGTACGGGCTAGTGTGGACCCAGACAAGTAGAGAGGACATTTCAATACATCATGAAGAAGCCCAAGAGATGTGCTTTGCTATAGGAAAACAGGAAAGTCGCAGAATCTGGGCTTGGGGGTGAGGAAGACTTCCCAAGAAAGTGGCATCTCAGTGGAGACCTGTGAATGAACAGAAGTTGCTGCTTGTGTTGGAATGGGGGAGGGAAGAAGGGACAAAATGTGTTTGAGGCAGAGAAACTATGTACAGAAATTCAGGAGCAGGAGAGAACATGAAGAATGTGGAAGAATAGCAGAGTCGGATGTCTGCAGTTTGGTGGTCAGTGGCCGACGGCATGTGGCACCATGCAGAGGGATAAGGCAGAGAGGTGTTTTGTAATAAGTGCCATGGAGTTCGAACTTTATTCTAAGGAAGGCATGAATAGAAATGCACATGAATGCATAGACTTAATCATGTCCAGGTTACCTAAGTGCCTAGAATGCCCCTCACCTTGGATTTTAAGCACATCCTGGTGAAAATCAAGACCAGTTTAGCAGGGTGGTCTAGTTTCAGTTTTCTGTATGTATCTGTCCAATTTTCCCAACACAATTTATTGAATAAACTCTCTTTAACCCATTGTATGTGCTTACTTCCTCTGTCAAATATTAATTGACTATATAAAGGTGTGGGTTTATTTCTGGGCTTTTCATTCTGTTCCCTTGCTCTATGCGTCTGTCTGTTCTAATGCTGGTACCAGGCTGTTTCGGTTACTATGGCCTTACAGATATTGGGCAGCGTGATTCTTCCAAATTTGTTCTTCTTTCTCGGGATCACTGTTGCTATGTGAGGCCTTTTGTGGTTCCTTATACATTTTTGAATTATCTAGTTCTGTAAAATATAACATTGGGATTGTGATGAGGATTGTGTTGAATCTATAGGTTGCTTTGGGTAGCATGGAATTTTTGTTGTTTATTTCATTGTCATTAAGCCTGAGAGTCATTAAGCAGCTGCAGGTCTGACACTGGACATAACCCATAACCACTCAACCAATAGAACTGTGTGACTTTGTGTGACTAACACCAAAACAAGGTTGTCCTGGTCTGTCTTCACCCAAGCCCCACATTCTGGAGCTGCTGGTGGATTACGGAGCATTTAGGTTTTCAGGACCAGCCATGTTGTATAGATGTCGATGTGAACAAAACCGACTCCATCTCTGTAACTCAGATTTTATGACGTTTTTAAAGTTTTCTGCTGTGAACCTTACTGTCCTTAGCAATCACATCAAAGCTTTCTAGTTGATGATTACCTGTGTCCCTTAAAATGCAGCCATAAATGTTTTTGTTACTAACAGCCAGAGAGGTGTGGTAACCGAGATAAACATCAAACTGGTAATAGTATCGAATAGAAGCAATCCTCTATCCCAAGACCACCACCGGAAGGTATGGCCCCTGGTGTTAGCCAGGGTGTGGCCCGCTTTCTTTGTCCCTCTGTCCTGTCAGTCATTAGCACCTGAGTCACGCTATAAATAATATACTATAACAGGGGTCTGTTAGCGAAGAATAATTTTCCCCAAACTGCTAGGGCATCTGTCTGCTCCAGCCCAATCTTCCTGTAAGTAAATCACCCCATAATAAACTGTTACGTTCTATGGTATTGCCTGATTTGCCTTTTAGTCCAAAGATACCTTGATGTTATGGTGGCCTTTTCACAGTTGCCTCCCCATTGGACACATATTCACATGAATTTAAAACATGTATTTCAGCCCTGGCTGGTGTAGCTCAGTGGATTGAGCACAAGCTGCCAACTGAAGGGTTCCAGTTCAATTCCCAGTCAGGGCACATGCCTGGGGTTGCAGGCCAGGTCCCCAGTGGGGGCCATGTGAGAGGCAACCTGTTTCTTTCCCTCTCTTTCTCCCTCCCTTCCCCTCTCTCAAAAAAAAATTAATTAATTTTTAAAAATAATAAACTTCATTAAAAACATATTTCAAAGAGAAAGAGGTAAATATTTAGTTGAGAATATTTTCTACATAATTTTGATTTGAATATATTTTAGATGAGGACAACACTGTTATGATGTCATATTATTTACAGAAAATTAAGTTTTGCCACTGAACTGTACAGTTTCCTAGATTTGTAAATTAACAACCCTGAGGAAATGCCCCTGATTTTAGATGTTGAGTACCGAAGAAGGGTGAATCACATAGTACTTTATAAATGCATGTTAACTGCCCCAAAGAAAATGCTAATAAGCAAGGGGAAGGCCCAAAGCTAGGTGTCTTGGAACAGAACACCAAAGGCCTGGATTGTTCACAAGAAAGTGAAGCCAGTGTAGCCTGGGGCAGACAGGTCGGGGGAAACAAAGAGACAAAAGATAATCAGAGGCTTAAGGAAGGAGAAACATGAAACAGGCTCCAGAAGAAAGCACACCTACTTTTAGTCCGGTCCTCTGCATTTGCCCTCACAGCAACGGCTGGAGCGGCCGATGGGTTGGATTGATCGCATGCTCTACCTTCTCCGAAACTTTCCTCTTACATTATCCCCAGTCGGCATATATTTCGGAAACTTTCAATAAATGAAAACATTGTTGGTTCTCCTGACTAATTTCTATCACAACCTTGAAGTGTAAAAACTTTTAAATCTTTTTTTAAGTTGCAAACGAATAGCTTATGTGATGTAGAGGTATTTTATAAGCATGCATTCAGGAGATAGCTGACCATATCCTCAGTGCCAGCCCCTGTGTTAGGCCCTGTTCCTGCCTGTTTTCGGTCAGGGTGGCTACAAACGTCTTTCCGTAACTATCAAGTAACACTCACTGTGTTGAAAACATGTCAATAGCCCTTGTTGTAAAAGTGTGAGACCCACAGAACAGTTGAAAAGATAGAGCAAAGCGTTCTCATAGACTCTTCGCTCAGTTTGGCCCACGGTTAACATCTTAGCTCACTGTGGCACACTTGTTACAGCCAGGGACTCAGTGTTTGTATGTTATTATCCACTACACTTCATGCTGTGTTTGACTGCACTTCTTTTCCCCTGGTGTCCTTTCCCCTGTTTCAGGATCTCATCATACCGGACGCATACATTTAGTTTTCGTGTATCTGTGGACTCCTCCTGGCTGTGACAGCCGCTCAGGCTGTCCTTGTTTTTAAGGACCTTGACTCTTTTGAGGAGGACCGGTTAGGGTTCTTCAACATCAGTTTGCCTGATGATTTTGTTAAAGGTAGGCTGGGGTGATGGGTTTTGAGAAGAACATCACAGAAGTGAATGACCTTCTCATAACACTACATCAGAGAGTCTGACACCAAAGTGCCGTATCGCTGCTGATGCTAATTCTTATCACTTGTTTAAGGTAATGTTTGCCAGGTTTCCCCGTTGTAAAGTTATTGTTGTTCCCCTTTTATAGTCTATTCAGTAAGTGAGTCACTACACCCAGCCAGCAGTTAAGTGTGGGGTGGGGTGGGAATGGCGGTAAATTAACTTCCAACTCCTGGAGTAGGAATTCTCTACATATATTTTTTGGAATTCCTACATAAGAAAAATGTGTTCCATTTCTTTATTTAATCATTTATTTATATGGACCAATGTATGTTTGTTTTGTGCTTTGGGCTAGTATCCAATAATATGTTATTTTGGGGGGTGATGTCATCGTTACAGCTTTGGCCGTTGGGAGCTCTTCCAAGTTGGCTTCTGTGTTCTTTGATCTGTCTTTTTATTGCCTGAGCGTTTTCTTACTTTCTGGTACTGTTCGCATAGAGAGTTAGGTATTAATAAAGGAAGGAAGCAAAGGGAATCAGACATCGTTAGGCATAATAAAACTGGAGAGCATGAGCCTACTTGCTTCACAGGAAGTTACAGCTTCGCTCACTCTCCAGGGAACTCTGTTCCCAGCAGACTGTGTGGGGGAAGGGAGAGGGCCATAAAGTGGGAGGTGAGCACATGCGCAATAGGAGCCAAAAGGGTGACCGGAGAGGCCTGTCAGTCTGGCTGGAAAAAGGGAAATTGAGTGGTTGGGGGCAGGCTCATCAGAAGCCCAGGAAAGCTTGGGAAGTTGATTGGTTATTTTGATACAGCTTCCGGTCCTTCCCAAGCCTAAAATCACATAATCCCAGGGAACAAAGCCCTTCTCTCTCTCTCCCAGCAACATGGGCGACCCTGCGGGCCTGTTAGCCAAGCAGGGCTCACAGAAGACTGCGTGGACTCCAAGGACGAAGCTATAATGTGGCAGAGACTCTGTGGACATTGGCCTATTTCTGGTCTGAATTTTCCATGGTGGGCAGACAGATATGGAGCACTGGGAACTCAGGAGGGACACTCGTTTGATTTGCATCTGATGCTACAAATAAATCTTGCCAAAACTCATCCTCCCTCGTGGGTGCTGTGGAACGCTGTTCCTGTGACGTCCAGAGAACTCCACTTCCATAGCAACGGCACCACAAGATACCCCAGGCTTTTGTATATTTCCTGGGCCGCGGAGCCATAGAATCAATCAGCTGGCCAGTGAACCCTGGTTCCTTTTATTGTAGAATAGAATTAAAAACCAAGAGAAACAGTCTTTATTATAATATTGTAAAGAGTATGGTTTTGCCTTTGCAAGACTTTTTTTTTAAGGCCTAATTTGTGTTAGACAGGAAAAAATAGCTTTTCTACTGCTGAAATGCTGTAAAATAGCTAAAGGACTTTTTTGTCCTTGAACAATAGACAGAGAACAAGTGGGCATTTGGTTAGCTAGTCAATGGAAATAATATTAATTATTTAAACCATTTTGAAACATTAATGAAAACATTATTTTTTAAGTATGTTTATTAAAAACCGTTGAAAATTTTGACCATGGCTGGATTATCCAATTACTACAAACTCAACCATCATTTAGCCTCCCAGGTCTTGAATGGGATAAAGAATAAAGCAGATATGGAAAACAGATATTTGTTATTTGGTTTTCATTGATAAACTCATCTTTCTTAGATGAATAAATAATTTTTGAAGTAATAAAATACAGCTCCCACTTCTTTCAGACTCTTCATTCTGCTAACTGCTTTATATACTCCATTCTCATTTGATGATGTACCAGAAGTAAAATTTAATCCCAGAAGCTAAAATCATTTGCAGAAAACAAAACAACAAAATTCTCCTCGCTTCTACCTCATTGTAAATAATCAAAAGCAAAAGGTAAATATGGGACTTTAATTTTAAAAAACCTAAGTAGATTTAAGAAAGAACATAAGCAGGTGAAAGTTTGGAACAAAGTATAATTCTTAGAAACCTTAGAATTCTTGAACCTTAGAAAGGGTCAAGCCACACTCTTTAATCCTTGAAGGAAAAAACTGTAGTTTGCACGTCCAGGCAGCTTCCTCACGTCTTCCTCCTGCTGGACAATGGCAGGAATCTGCCTGGAATCCAAGGCTCTTGGTTTTCCGTTCCATGTACTTTCCTCTAATCCTGGTCTGTAAGTCAACTATTCAGGTCGGCATGATACTGGAGTACAACTGGTAACTCCCGGAAAGTGAACGTAGAACAAGAGCACGTGTGAATCCTAAAAACGCTGTATACAGATTGATGCCACCTTCTCCTGGCTATAAGATACAAGATGTATATGGTTAACTTACATGGCATTGTGACAGTCAATATGAAAAGCCTTCCTTCCGTCCATCCTTCCTGCCCTCCTGCTTTCCTCCCTTCCTTTCTTCCCTCCTTCTCTCCTTCCTTTTCTTTTTCTTTCTACTCTCCCTTCTTCATCCCCTCCTCCTCGTTTCTCTTTCTCCCTTTTCTAGGCCCTGTGCTAGATGTCCTATAAACCCCGAGACATCTAACATCAGAATTAGGGCTGGCAGCAGGTGCAGTAAAGTGTGCCCTGGGCTGCTGTGAGGTCAAGGATCTACTAGATTTGGCTGACTGTTAATAAGTAATAGGTAATTCTCCTGGGGAGATTTCCTCGGTGAAATAGTGCTTAACCATGCAGGCTTTCCCAATCCTAGAATGAAATCCCCTCAGAAAATAATCAGGACTTGCCTCAAGACAGGCAGAATAATAATCCGTTTTTGCTGCTCTTCTACTGCGCGCGCGCGCGCGTGTGTGTGTGTGTGTGTGTGTGTGTGTGTGTGTGCGTGTGAGAGAGAGAGAGAGAGCACAGGTTAAGGGCCATTTAAAAAAAAATTTAACCCATTACGGACTGGCATTATTTTAAATACAATGAAAATGAATTAAATTATTAGAAAAATGAAGTAACACGAAAAATAAGACAAAATACAACCATTGCTATGTTTATCATATGAGATTTGACAGGCACAAATTACTCCATGAACCGGCTATAAAACTTTCTGAGTAGTGTGGATTCTGCATTTATCTTATTGTACAAACAAACAGCGATAAAACTCAGTCCATACATTGGCTTCCAGGAGCATTGCTCTCAGCAGCAGTTCTCCCTCACGCCTGCAGCCTGCAGTGGAGCCCAGGCCGCACCCCACGCCATTTAATCCAGAAGCTCTCTTTCTGTGTCTCGCTTCTTTTAAACAAGATCTCCAGGTGATGCTAACCTGCAGCTTTACAAAGAGACACCGTTGCTGCAATATGTCATCTGAAAAGTGGCCCTTGGAGGCTCCTGTCTTTAAATAAGCCCTTTCATGTTTGGTGATGAAATTTGGGGGGGGCGGTGGCCTTCTTACCTCAGTCCTCTCTTCACTCCTCAGTAAATCTGCGACTACGTTTTCTAAAGGAATTCATCCTGTGGCAGAAAGTAGGCATTAGGGTATTGTGTGGCAGCTGGGGTACACAGGCAGGCACGGTACAAAAAGGATGACCCTTTTAAGTCCTAGTCCTTATGATAGTTATGTTGGAATCATGCTCTCAGGAAATAATAAACCCATGTGAGTCCCCTTTGATGTCCAAGTCAAACAGGGATGAGGTCTAATTCCCATAATTGAAGATTCATTCTTTCATTCATTCAACAGGAGCAGCTGCACAGGCACTAGGAATGTCTTTGGGTGTTACACAGATCTCCTGCTCTCCGGGGCCTGGGGATCCCTTTTATTTTAGAGAGAGGAGTGTTAGTGACTTTGCCTGTAAGACGTAGTGCAACCTGATAGAATCTGATCCATTCATCGTACTTAAGACCAGCAGAGGCTAGTGAGTGAGGACCACATGAGAATCAAGTCTATTGAAAGATCAGGCTTTAACTTGTCCAATACGACTCACCTGTAGACTTTCCCCCTGCAAATCTATGTGAAAGCAACTATAGCGGAGTGATTCGGGCCATGGATCCTGACAGAGGGCTGAAGTGGTAAAAAATGTCTCCCATCCATCATGTTGGCTGCAACCTCAAACCCCCCCCCCCCCGATCATGCCAGGAGAGTGGCTGGTGCCACCCCGACCATGAATGCTAAGTGAGGTACAAACCATGCCAGTGACTAGCCATATATATAGCGGCAACTGCACAACACGGACCCCAGACTATCTGCTTCCCTAACATGAGCGCTTGCCTGGCAAAGCACCGCCAGAGCTACGGTGCCATTCATCATGTTGCTGTTAGATCTCAACCGCTGACTGGGCCAGGGGAGAAGCTGGCAGTTCCCAGCCACTCAGCTCAAAAGTCTGAAGCTTCTCTTCTGGACACCGACACTAGACTTTTTGGATTCCCAGTGTACCGCCCTGGGAAGCCGCAGGCACCCCTGCTATGGCTCCTGTCTTTGAGCATTTCCGTTTAATAAATTCTGCTCCGGCAGTATGGGTAGCGTGCTGCTCGGCTGTTTGCTGGGTTTCTATGACATCTACTGACAACAGGGGCCACAGAGAGGTCATGACTCAGGGGCAAACTTTGCCAGAGGAGTCAAGACCTTGGGAGATGTCAGTCTAAGGGGCCTTAGGATAGTCTATGTGGACTCCCCTTCTACAGCAGCAAAGGAGCTCAGGAAGACCAAGACCCTCCATAGCTAAAACAGGGGTGAAGCAATCTATCCGCCATCGGTTCAGGGGAATCAGCAGGTACAACCCAGCTCCACAGGTGTGTGTGTGATTTGCAGGGCTGCCAGCACAGAACGAGTATTACCTTCTCCGGCTGATTCTTAAGGGGAAAAAATTACTGAAAGATAATTACATGGCAGAAACATGACTAGGTAAATACTAAGGATGCAAAAATAAACACAATAGTCTCTATTCTCAAGTAACTATGTCTCACAAAGGAGACCAACAGTAAAATGGTAAATATTATAGAGGTTCTGCATAAAATTCTATGGAAACGCAGAAGAAATAGCAAGCACTGAGAAAAGTCAGGGAGGACTTCATGGAGGAGGTTACATTTGAGGCATGCCTCAAAGGGTAGGTCTATAATTCACTTGAAGACATCTCACACCAGACTTTCCAAGCTGCATGCAGCTAACATAAACCTGTTTCTAGTTGACACATGAAGCTTTTTCTAGAAACCTGTGTTCTACAGATATGGTACATACTTGACATTTGCAAAGGCAACATCTTGAGACATTCTAGAATCATTAAATTCACACAACACCAATTAAACTGTAGAGGCTGAGTAATCAGCCAGGCTTACTCACCGACTAAATACTTGCTTCTACACAGGAGCCATGCGGCAGCACTCAGAGATGTGGCCAGACTCTCAAAGGTCGCAAGTGAAAAATGTCATGCATCCAGCGTGCTTTAGAGAACAATCTCCCAGAATGGTGGCAGGATTGTCACAGTGCTCCAGAGAAGCCGTGACACCGCAGGTCAGAGAGTGAGAGAGTCACTGTCTCCCAAGAAAATGACCAGGGCCTGGGCATGGAGCTTGTTGCACACTTGGTTACTTGGAAGACACAGCAGAGGGTACAGAGAAGGGGGTGATTGCTGTCATGTGTCTCATGCTCCATGACCTAATGAGTCACCATGAGCCAAAATGCATTCCTTAAAGTTGGGAAGAATTAATGCATGTACCATTTATTAAGTACACCCACTGTGTTCTTGGCATAGTGCTGAGAGCATCACAAATACGTTAGCACGTACTTGTCACCTAAGTAAGCCCCGTGAGTTAGGCACAATTATGTCCCCACTTCTGAGATAAGGAAACTGAGCTCGGAGAAGTTAAGCAATGCACTCACGGACATACAGACTGGAAAGCAAGAGAAATGGAGGTCAATCCAAGACTGCCTGTCATCAGAACCTTTGCTCTCAGCTTTTTCACCTGTCTTTATCCTCAGTTAAAGACAGAAGACTTAGTTTGGCAGAAAGGAAGACACCGATTTGTGAGTGGGTAGACCTGCTCTGCTACCAGGGCCTTCACCGTGCTCATTTCCTGAGCAGCCCCAGGAATGAAGACCAGGGCTCCCATGCCAAGCACTGCCAGGAATCTGGGTTTTGTCTTTCACAGGTTATGTGGCCCGTGACAGGAACTGTACGTGTCAGGGCTGAATATATGTTACTAGAAATAGATGACTTCAGGAAGTTGTATTTGTACAGCTTAAATAGAAGTGAAGAAAACTGGAAGCAAGATACAGCATTCTAATCTGCGGTTGAATCATGCACCATAATTAAGCCTCCTCATTTCCTCCTCGTTCCTTCTTCATTTTGCAAATGTCTCCATCTGTGACTCATCCCTTTTGCGGCAACATTACTCCTTCATATTTCTTTTTCTTGCCTTGCTATTTTCTTCATCAACTCTCTCCCTTAACTTTTCTAGAAAGATCCTATTGGTTATTGAAATTATCAAAGAGGAAGTTAGAAGAGATACTCCTTGAAGAAACATTAAGAATTTACATTAAACCAGGGAAGGCCTGCATTAGTAACTGATAGTAATGAGAACACTATGTACATAAATTAGCTCAATGTATTTTGGGAGCCTATTTTTTGGCTGGAATTGTTCTACCTGTGGAAGATATCAAGATAAATAAGACATAAATCTTTTTTGGTGTCATGAAGTCAGTATTTATGTCATCACCAAGTTTAAAGGTTGGAGATGAGGTCTGGGTAATTACAAGGTCAATGGTCAATGGTCATGGTCATGGTCAATGACAACACATGGTCATTGAATGCTCATTCATTGCTTGGAGCCCTCATGAATGGGATTCGTGCCCTTATAAGAAGAGGCATAACAGAGATAGTCTCTGTCACGTAACAATACAGGCATCTGCAAACCAGGAAGAGTGCCTTCACTGGGAACCGAACTGGCCAGCACCTTGATCTTGGACTTCCAGCCTCCACAACCGTGAGAAACAAATGTCTGTTATTTCAACCATCCAGTCTGTCAAAGTATTCCACTCTGAATGAAAGAAACAATGGGTAGGACCGAGACATAAAAAGATAATATCCGTAAAACGCAGCAAGTGCTGTGACAGAGATAGATACAAATTTACAGTAGCTCTTCATCTTCCCCAGCTTCCGGGAAAGTTTCAGAAGGGGAAAATGCCATCTGAGCTCATTCATCTCACATGAATTAGAATTAGTTAGAAGGCGGAGGAGGAAGAAAGGGGGGCAAGAAAATCTCAGGCCCCGAATTTTTAGTAGTTACACAAAAGTACAAAGGAATGGAACCACCTTGTACGTTTGGAGCATCATAAGCAGTGCAATGTTGCCAGAAGGCAAAGTTGCCAGTGATGAGAGACAGGAGTGGGGCTGGGGACACAGTCAGGACCACAGTAGAACCATTAATGGCTTTATGCATGTAGGTGATGGGGTGAGGGAATAGCCCAGGAGGATGTAAAGAAAGAGAATTGACATAGCCACATAGTATTTCAGAGTGATCCCCTGGGTGGCACAAACAAGGAGAGATCTGAGGGATGGTGCATAAGAATCTAGGGTGCTGGTCCAGGATGGGCGCCGGGGACTTGCACTGGGTGCCTGCAGTGTGAGGGGAGAGACATAAAATCGTCAGCTCTGGGATTTAGGGACTCAGCAAAGTACAGAGAGGAAAACAAATCTTTTCTGAGTCCTTTCTTCAATGGTTGCTTACAAATAGCAACGATTACCCTAATAGGAATGTCAGACCTGTGGTTCCTTCTGGCAGACTGACGCTGGGTGCTGGCGCAGCACCTTCTTCTTCTGCCTTGGGTCTGGGACCTGGCATACTTTCTTCTCCTTTAGCCACTTCTGGCATCCTCTTGGTTCTCTGAGGGAATTTTCTCTAACCTAGCTGTGGTGCGGGTGTTAGGCTTCCCAAACATCCCCTTCGCTTGCTATTTTGATACCAAAAATCCATCTCTCTCTCCCTCCTAGTATTTCTGTGATTGCAATTAATGAACAATGCCAGTACTGTTGGTGGAGACTTTATCCTTCTACTGCTACCTGGTTTTGGTGGCATATGTCAAACACCAATTCGGTTTAACCGGACCACTAAAAGGAGTAGGAGAGAGGGCCCTGAACATTCAGGGAAAGGAAATTGGCAGAAGGCTGGAGGCTGGGCAGCCGAAAGGTGAACTGGGTCACAAGCAGAGTCATGGTCTGCCTCGAGTCACCCCTGAGGCAGCTGTTGCACTCCTGGACTCAGAACTCTCTTGGTACAGGTCTCCTGAGGAGTTTCTCATTGTTTCAAGCCATTGTCTCATAAGAGGAGAGCCAGTCTGGTCCTGGCTGCTGGGAAATGAGAAAGGAACAACTATTTTCTATCAACTTCCAGGTGGGAAGCGGGAAAGAAAGGCCCTCTCTTCCCCCTCCAATTCTTTGGGTCTTTCTGCCCCACAAAAGGTACTAGAATTTTTTTAGTTTTATCTCTCCCTAACTCTGTATCTTAATCTTCATACACACAAACATTACATTCACACACACACTTATCACTCACCTGCCCAACAGGAAGTGCCCTGAGAGCAGTGTCTCGCCCTCATTCCCTGTCATAACCTCAGTGCCAGGCAGAGTTAATACCAGAGAAGAGTAGATAGTTCAGCAAATATTTCTTGGATAAACAGGTGAACAGGTGAATGAATGTGCCTTTTTTTTAAAAAAAAGCATTACCAGTAATTACTACAGCATTTTAATAAATCTATTTCTACTTGTTATCAATCTATAGTTTTTAACTCCCTCTGAGACAGTAACTGGAATTTCTCGCAGCTTCTGCTCGTGTCATGGTTCATCAAGCCCATCCTCACCCCACGGCTGAACCTCACATTTTAGCAAGGGTGCCATGGACCCTTAGCCCGGGCGTACCCTTTCCCCTGACTGGAAACTGATAGAAGCCATCTCTAAAGTGTCTAAAGGAAGCTAAGCTGTTTACCTTATTTTGGATCTTCAGACTTGATAAGAATCAGCCTTGGGGGCCTGGGACTGAGGGAGAATCCCCCCGGGGCTGCTTCCTTCCAGGAGGCAGAGAGGCTGAGCAACTCCCTTGGGGCGTGGAAATGGGAGCTGACAGTGGACATAGCAGCCGTTGGAAGCTATTTGCGATCTGAACCAGTTGTTTTCTCTGACAAGCAGTGATATTGAAATTCTGGGGAAATACGGCGATGTTTTGAGAGAAACTGTCTATGTTTTGACTTTCTGAATGCCTTAAAGAGCGAGCTAGGTAGACAAAGTCACATAACAATGTTATAAAACAACCCTTTTAAGACGCTGTAAACTTAAAAATCATCTTAAGATCTTATCTCTGGAACATTGTTCTTATGTTGATGCTGCTGCTGCTGCTGCAAGTCTGAAGATTTCATCAACAGAAAGTTAGCACTTTAATGCTAATGATCTGCCTTCAGAAATAACTCCTCTGGGATTTTTTAAGCTGAAAGATTTTGAAAAGATGCACATACTTCAAAGATTTCATTGATGCAATATTGTCTCAGAATGGGGCTTGCTAAGTTTTACTAGGTAGGTTATATTTTAACATTTCTTCAACTTTGGGTATTGATAGCGGCTCGCTTTAACTGGGATTTATAATTCTCCCTGAGAATAACATTTGTTGTCGGAATAAAGCACATTTGGCTCTTTCTAAGCTGCCAAAATGTGAAGCCTTGTGGTTAGGTATTTTGGAAAACTGGCAGGTTTTGTTTACATATTGTGGTCTTTCTCCAAATTTATCCCACCCCACACCCCACAAGTCTAGGACCCCTTCCAATGTAATTGCTATGGGACAAGTGCAAGGCTGAAACGGCTTCCTCTGCCACCGAATCCCTTCCATCTCTGAATCACAGGCAGCAAGTGCCAAAAGAGCTTCCCTTGCCTGGAAAAAAAAAATGCTGACCTATAGAAATACCTGAATCTAATTTGCTGTACAAATGGAAACCCATGCTTCTCTAGATTGGATGCAGAGGAGTTTTTTTCCAATGTTTATAATTTAACAATTGCTTAGAGCCTTTCATCTGAAAGCAATTTACATGTTGGGCCCAATTCCCCTAACATGCCTTAAGCTTGCCAGTGTTTTTCCTCTCTGACCTTCATGCATTGGTCTCATTGGGCAGTGTCCTTGTGCCCACAGCAAATCTTAAACCTAATCATGGAAGTGTTCTATGGCTGAAAATACCAGAAGACCCTTCTTGCCCCCTGAAGAATAATACCTTAGAGAATGATAGTGTTTTTCTGTATATTCTTCTGACAGAGGTAAAACACTTTGTCTTGGAAAATGATTCAATCTTTCCGTGTAATATTCAGCCAGAAGAGATGAACCCACACTCACATTCTGTTGCCTTAATTTTGGAAGAAAGCAATGTGTCCCATCTGTGGCAAATGTGTTATCTTAATCTGCCGCCATCCAGCCGTCTAGGGCCATCTGCTCGGGCCATTTGTTAACATGGCTTGTTCAGCCAGTTCATTCAACAAATACTTATCGAGGGCTTACTCTTTGCCAAGCACTGTGCTAGATGTTGGAGAGGAAATGGTGAAAAAGCAAGAAGTGTGTGTGTCCAGGAGTTTACAGTTCTGAGGGAGATAATCCG